CGTTCCGCCAGGCGGCGGACAAACCTGACCCGCGCGTCGGGCGAGCCAGCGAGGTGAGGGTCCCAGTAGGGCACGATGGGGTCGAGCCCCTCCGCATCAGCCAAGAAGACCCTGTCCGGTTTCCGCACGTACCGATCGGGGTCGGCGAAGGCGCGAACGACGAAGTCGGGGCAGATGTCCTCGACGCGCTTCGGGACGATCTTCGACTTCCAGAACTTGAGCTTGTCCTCACTGTAGGGTGCGACCTTGGAGGGCGCCCCGGCGTACAGCGAGTCGGACTTGAGGAGCTCCTGAAGGGCTCCGCGAGGTGTGAGCCCAGGCGGCCGTGGGCCGTGCCGGCCGATGTTGCGACGCAGGTGAGCGAGGCAGCTGGCCTGCGTGGCGGAGGGCGCGCCGGGCGTGGTGGAGCCACGGGCTGGCACGCTGCCGAACCCGTGGACCGAGGCACGGGAGAGGTCGTTGACCGATCGAACGGCCTCCCGAAGTCGGTGTTCGCGACAGCGACGACGTACGGCACGGAGGGCCAGATACCTCGGCGCGTCGGCCAGGTCCACGAACCCGGAGGGCTGCGGGACCGGAAGTGGCAGAGGCTCACCGTGACGACGATGATCGCGACGAGCCATGCCGATGAAAACAAAACTGCCGACGTGGAGGAGCCCACGCCGAGAGGGCCGGCCCAGCGGCGCGGGGCGGTGAGCCCGCGGGCTGGGACGGCAGGGCAGGGGGCCCCGCGCCCGCCTACCCGCTGCCCTCCTTCTTGGGGTGCTTCGGCGGCTTGTCCTTCGAGCCGCCCGCCGAAGTCTCCTCCCGCCACTGCCTCCCCGCCTTCATGATGGCCGCCTCGGACCGCTGCTGCTCGCCGACCCAGGCGTCGAAGGCCGGGAGCACGAAGCCGCCGGACTCGTCGATGGCGGCGTCCAGCACCACGTCGAGCCCGTCGAAGTCGGGCTGCCTCGGGTTGCGCCTGGTGGCAGCCTCGAGCTGCTTCAAGCGGCGCACCATGTACTCCACCCCCGCCACGTTGTAGAGGTCGAGCTGGTCGAACTGCTGCATGATGCGGAGCACGGAGCAGAGCATCCGGTGCTCGCGGGCGGTGTTGCTCTTCTCCGGGATGCCGGACCTCCTGACTCACGTCGTGTGGTGCTCGTCCCAACCCTCCTGTCCGGCATCCCGAAGAGCGAGGCAGGCCTCGCGTGTAGCCCGCTTCCCTTTGAGGGGCCACCCAGGGATGGCCTGCTCTCGCATCTTCGAGACGGAGGTGCGGAAGCTCATGAAGCGATCCTTCTCCTCGTCCCGCTCGTCGCCTGCGATGCGCGGGTCCCGACCAGGACCCCCACGCGCCCGAGCCTGCCACTCCTCGAAGGAGCCGCCGGCCTCGACCCGCACCGCCGTCTGCCACACGTCGTCGATCAGCACAAGGCCCACCTCGCCCCGGCGGAGGAGCACCTCGTCGTTGCCCACGGAGGCCGCGGGCACCTCCTCGCCGTAGTGGGGCGAGGTCGGGTCCGAGACGAACCAGCGCTCGTCCCGGGCGAGGGGGGCGGCCGAGGCGGGGTACCCGAGGATGTCCCCCAGCGCCCGCGCCTCGCGGTAGTACTGGTGCATCTCTTCGGCGTCCACATCGGCATCGTCGAACACGTAGATGTTGCCCCGGTAGCGGTCGGGGAAGGCGCCCCCTCGCTGGAGGGCGCACACGCGGAAGCCACCCAGGTTGGCCGCCGCGATCTCCCCGTCGGGAGTGACCCAGACCCACCATTGGTCCGGCCCCTTGACGAGGAGGACCCTGTGGTGCCATTGGAAGTTCTCGTCGTCGTCGTACCGCACGAGGCACTGGGCGTAGGGCACGTCAAGCGCCCTCGGCATTCACGGCACCGGCCCGCCTCCGCACGCGCTGGAGGGACGTCGGCGTCGCCGCACCCACACGCTCCCCAGCAGGACCCTCCGCGAGGGCCAGCGGCGGCAGGACGGCGCGAGGCGCCCCCGCCCGAAGCAGCCAGGCAGCCGCAGCGGCCACACCGGCGGCGAAGCTCGCGAGCCCGACGAGGACCACGAGCGCCCAGGCCCCGGACGGAGCCGCTGGGACCGGGCACTGCGGACACACGCAGGCCGGGCACGCGGGGCAGGCCGCCCCGAGGTGCTCCGGGCCGCAGCGCGAGAGCTGCTCCCGGAGGATGTCCAGCACGCCCGAGCCCGGCTCGTGCCCGCTGAAGACGCAGGTGCAGGACGGGTCCGCGGGCGGAGCCGGCGCGGACCAGCGGGACGCGAGGATCCCAAGAACCCAGCCAGCCGCCGCCTGCATGCACGAAGCGGCGAGACTGGTGCCCAAGAAATCTTGAGCAAAGAGGGGCTGCAGAGAGTTCTGTTCAGCCGTATCCTGGTACGGCGCACGGTGGGGAGGCCCGCTGGACAACACATAGCGCGCGAGCACGTACAATACATATATATATATATATATATACTATTTCCCTGTAGGGGGACAGGCCCGACCTAAGTCTTCTCGTCGTCTCGTCGTTTTTGGCATCTGGGTCCCGGGAAGTTCAAATTTAAGAGGACGGCTCAGGACCAAAAGGCGGCCCTGGGGAAAAGCTCGGGACCTCATGCCCCCGCGTTGAGCACGTCAAGACATCGGATGCCTGGGTTCGCGTCGTCCACGCATGTAGGGGTCCAGACGAACAGGCTCACGTTGCTGCAGAGGCGTGGCTGGCCCAGGTAGGCTGGACAGGATCGGTCAGCATCGGATCGGAAGGTCGGATCAGCTCTGCACGTGCGTCGGATCGGGCCGCATCGGCACGGAGCTTGAATCTAATCGAACCGACCGTGCCAGGCTGCACCACAGCGCCGGTGCGAGCATCGGGCAGCGTCGGGCCGTCGCAATGTCGGACTCGAATCGGATCGAGCTGGCCGACAACGGTATCGAACCGAACTGGTCGGATCGAACTGGACCCCGGCTGGTGGGCGGTCGGGCCCTGAGATCCGACGTAGCGAAGAGATTGCGGCAGCGTGAAGAGTCACGCCCGGAGCCCTATAGACCCGATCTTTCTGCATCGTGCACCATGCTTCGACCCGGATCCATCTGTGAGGACTCCGGGGCCCCAAACTGGGCGAACACGTCCGGCTCGAAAAAATCGAGTCGCCAGGGTCTCAGGGCAGATCTGCCGCCGCGCGACCCGCGCGGCCTCGAGCAGAGGCCCCGCTGCTGGGCCCTCCCCGGCTGCCGACCCTCGGTCTCCTCGGTCCACGCTCGGGCGCGGAGTCGCTGCGGCCGCCGCGCCGATCGATAGCCTCGAACGGAGCATCGAGGGTCCGAGAGTCCCGAGGGCCCCGAGGGCCCCGAGGGCCCCGAGGGCCCCGAGGGCCCCGAGGGTCTCGAGCATCGAGGGTCCCGAGGGTGCCGAGGGTCTCGAGCACCGAGTGTCCCGAGGGCCCCGAGGGCCCCGAGGGTCTCGAGCATCGAGGGTCCCGAGGGCCTCGAGGGTCTCGGAGCACCGAAAGTCTCGAACGGAGCATCAAGATGAATAGACGATCTGAAGGCACCGCAGCAGAAGTCAGAGCACTCGTTGTTTTATCAGCGCACGGGCACCCATTCCGAAAATACCTGTCTCGTGCCAACGGCGGCGGTGAGTTGACAAACGAGGAAGCATGCACGAGCGGAGACAGGAGGTAACAGAAAGGAGGGAAGAGAGGGACGACACTCGTGCCAACACCGTGCATCGCCGCATGGCGCAGCAGGAGTGCCTCGCCCCCCCCTCTCCCCCCCCCCTCCCTTTGATCGAGCACCCGGGGGTGCACTGTGTGGGCTGCCTCGCCTGCGGCCCCCGGGGCCCCACGCTGCGGCCCGAGGCGTGCGCCCCGCAGGACCCTGCCCAAGGATGTGCGCGGCGCCCTGGATCTGCCCGCGCGGGAGCGCCCTGGGGCCGCCAGGCGCTGGCAGAGCCAGCCGCCGAGTCCCCCGCCGGGGTGGACGGAACCTCCCACCCTGACACGTCGATTCGTGGATGGTCCGTTTTCGGATGCCTCCAGGCTTGCGCCGCCAGCTTTGGGCCCGAGGTCGTTTACACTGAGCCACGTTTTGCTAAAGGGGGTCCGGTCCATCTCCGACCCCCCTTTTCCCAGAGATCCGACTTCGCGGAAAAAGTAAAAAGTCGTGGGTAATCACGCTCGGAGCCCCGGACCCCATCTGGATCCGCCATTGTTCAAACCGGATCGATCTGTGTGAGGGTCCTGGGCCCCGGAATTGGGCGAAAACGTCCAGCTCGAAAAAATTGAGTCATCAGGATCTCAGGGTTCCGGAAGCCACCGCTCGGGTGCTGCTCGAAGTGCCCCTGGCCTAAGGTGCCCCCAGGATTTCCAGGGATGCCCCCACGGCCTCCAGAGCACCCCTCTCGAGGCCCAGGGGGCCCAGGGGTTCCAAACTGCAGCGAAAAGCTGGGTGCACCTTGGGCCAGGAGTATCCAAAGCAGCCCCCGAGCCGCGGGCTAACCTTCCGAGAGGTATCCAGCCGGGGTCCCGAGGCCCCCTGCACCCCTCTGGAGACACGCGCGGCGGGCACGTCCGTACCCGAACCCTGGCGGTCTGGATTCCAGGGCGCGATTTCGGGGATACGGATATGTTTTTCGCCCACGACGAGGCTTCCCCAAAAGGAAGGAAAGAAACGAAGGACCATGACCAAGACTGAACGCGGCAACGTCCGTGCCGATCTTGGCCATCGTCAATCAGTGGATCATCCTCGCGAATCCGCGACGGCCGGCATTGACTACGGCACAGACAGGCGCCGACAGGATCCCGCGACGTCTGGGCCATGGCCATCGTGCTTCCTCCCTCCGCCCGGATCCAAACGCTGAGCCGAGAGGAAACCCAGAAGCTGAGCCGCGAGGCGCCGCCGCCGCGCCGGGGCGCCGCGAAACTGCCGCACCCCTCAGCCGCGCGCGCACGCGCATCGGAGCCGGTCGCCGCCGGCCGCTGCGCGCCGCCGGCGGGGGGGTGTCGGCCGAGGACCGCGCGCGAGCCCGACTCGCCCGGAGTTGATCTTGAGGAAGACACCTCCCCTGTGCGCGACACCTCCCCCTGTGCGCCTCGAGTGACAGAAAGAACGCGGAGGCCTTTCTCGAAATTCGGCATCTGAGGGCCCTCGCCGGGCCCCGGGACCGTCAACGAAGATACTCTGGACGACAAGCCCGCCCTCAGGACGGGAACGGGACGTCGACTGCCCCGTATATAAGGAAAAAGCAAGGCGCTAGGCTCGCTGCAGAAGACCTGGGCGCAAAGCAGCTGCCGTCTCTTGAAGGGCCGATTTCTACCTCCGCCAGCCTTCCACCGGCGGAGCAACCCCCGATGTATGTCCGCCGCCTTCAGCCGTCCATTCGCCGAAGAAGAGGTGGCAGCGTCTCGATCCCTCGGGGGCGAGGCCCTTCCTGGAACGCCCTAGGTGACCGCAGCCCAAATCGGATGGGTATTTACTGGACGGGGTTCCGACACAATTCGGTGGCGCAACGGGCCAAAAACGTGCTAGAATGCCCCGTAAAATGTTCAAAGCATTGTTATGTGTAGACATGAGTGCATGATCGCATGTATATACAAATGGATACACATACACTCATACACATATACACATATAAACGTATACACATATACAGATGCATGTGTGTATACATGTGTGTGTGTGTTAATCAGCGTGGGGCCCAATCGTTTTTTTGTATAGGACCTTAGTTGTGCAATACTCGTGGTGCAACCTATGCGGCGCAATCTATGTAGTGTTATCGATGCTGTGCAAACTATGTTGTGTAGTTAATGGGGTGTGTGTGTTATTTGCGATGCGAACGGCGTGGTGCATTGGATGTGGTGCATGTTATGTAGTGCGAGCTATGCCGTGCAATCTATATGGTGCACCATGTGTTGTGCAATCTACGCTGACCAGTCTATGTTGTGCAGTGTGCGTGGCACGATCTGTGTGGTGCAATTGGAATATGTTCGCAATGAATTGTTCACTCCGCTGCTCGCGCGGACATCCCACCCACCCACCCACACCGTGGTTTGCAAAGCCCGTGCGGCGGCGATTGCGATGAGTGCTTGAAGTTGGCTGGTGCATCTCCGCGGCCGCGCTAGCCCGCGCATGCTTGCGCACGCAGCGGCCAAACTGTTTGGCGCTACCGACGCGGCCGCGGTGGCGCTGACCGCTGGGCACTTCCCAGCGGGCACGTCAGTGCGAGTCGGCGATTTGGGCGGGCGCGGTGTCAGCGCAACGTCGACAACGGTAAACGCGTTGATGATGGTAGCGATGTAGCGATGTTGGTTACGCTGGTGACAACGACGACGGCAAGGCCAGTGACGGCGCCGATGCTGATCACGCCGACGACGAAGGCGGCGCCCTCGCGTCAGTGATGAAGGTTTTGGGGGGAGTTCGACATGCGCGCGCGGCCGACGCGCGAGAGTGACCCGCATGGTACTATTTGACAGGAGTCGCCCCCCCCCCAAGCAAGCGCGCAAGGGCGTGCGAATGATTTCGGCATGCGGCGCGAGGGGTCCGTTCGGCCGAATTTAATGATAATGTTGAAAAAAAACCGATGGCGTCCTTGAGAATTCGGCTCTTGCGCGCGCAAGCCTCGTCTTGAAAACTGGTGTTGTAAAAAAGCATTTCCCCAAGATTTCGGGACACTCGACGTTGAAATTCTTGCGGGCCTGGGGTTTTTGAAAGATTCCGGCATGCGCGCGCGACGACGCGCGCGCGTGCACTTCGTCCCATTTGCTGCCAGGGGTTCTTGCGACACCACGCGCGCAAAATCGTTCGAACGAGTTCGGCACACGCGCGCAAGAGGCCCGCGTGGTAACATGTCATGATAATGTCGAATACCGATTGTTTTTCCTGAAGAATCCGCAAGAGCGCGAACGCAAGCTTGCTTTGACCGTTCTTTTTGCGAAACTATGTGTGTTTAGATGTTCTCGGGACACTCGATTTTGAAACCTTAACATATATTTTAGTGTTTGACAGATTTCGGCATGCGCGCGCGACGGCGCGCGTATACAATTTCTCAAATGTGTTGCAAAGAGTTCTTGGAAACTGATGGTGTTTGATAAACGAACGCGCGCACATAATATCTGTTGCAGAGGATGGGGGAGCGTTACTAGTTTGCCTGGGATGATGCGAATTCAAAACAAAAAAAAAACACGATGGACGATGGGGCAGAGACACATGTAGCTGCAATAAGCGGTGGCCCATTAACCCCGATGGGGGGGGATATCCTGATACTCTGTTATCAGGTCAATTGGTTTTGGATAACTTGGACGCAGCAGCTCCACTACTCGCGCAACCATCCCACCCACCCACCTGCAACTTGGCTTGCAAAGCCCGTGAGGCGGCGATTGCGATGAGAGCATGGCGTTGGCTGGCCCATTTCTACGGCCGCGCTAGCCCGCGCATGCTCGCGCGCACAGCGGCCAGCTAGCCTGGCGTGACCGACGCGGCCGCGGTGGCGCTGACCCCTGGGCACTTCCCAGCGTGCGCTTGCGCGCGAGTCGGTGCCTTGGGCGGGCGCGGTAGCATGGCGACGCTGACAACGGTAGACACGATGATGGTAGTGGCGATGGTGGTGACGATGATGCGGATGACGACGGCAAGGCCTGTGACGGCGCCGATGCTGATCACGCCGATGAAGATGACGATGTCTTCGCGTCGGCGATGAAGGTTTTGGCAGGAGGCCGTCATGCGCGCGCGGCCGACGCGCGCGAGTGGCACGCATGGTATTATTTGAGCGGAATCGCGCCCCCCAGCTCGCACGCAACGGCGTCATAATGAGTTCGACCTGTGGCGCGAGAGGCCCGCTCGGCCGAATATAATGGAAATAAGGGAAAACCGATGGCGTGTTTGACAATTCCCAACCATCCTGTCTCGCTTCGAAGAGACAGCGCCCCGCGCCCCTCCCACCTCCTCCCCCCCGCCCTCCCTCCCCATCTCCACCATCATCGACACTCATTTCGGCACACCCCTAACACGGCCCGTGGCCTCATATGGAGCTCCACCTAAGGCCCCAATGGCGACGTTCCCACGCGTCCGCGCCACAGATGTCGGCACGCCACTCACACGGTTCGCGGCCCCATACAAAGCTCCGCCCAAATCCCCAACGGCGACGTTTCCATGCGTCCGCGCCACCGATGTCGGCACAGTCCTCACACGGTTCGTTGCCCCCTAGGGAGCCCCACCTGAAGCCCCAGCGGCGATGTTCCAACGCGTCCGCGCCACCCATTTTGGCTGACCCGCCGCGCGGTTCGTGGCCCCATAGGGAGCTCCACCGGCGACGTTCCCACGCGTCCGCGCGACCCACTTCGGCACGCCCCGCGCGCGGATCGCAGTCCCATGGGGAGATCCACCGACGGCCCCAGCGGCGACGCTCCCATGCGTCCGCGCCACCGATGTCGGCACGCCCTTCACGCGTTTCGCTGCCTTATAGGGAGCTCCACCCAAGACCCCAATGGCGACGTCCCCATGCGTCTGCGCCACCCATGTCGGCACACTCCTCACGCGGTTCGTGGCTCCATAAGGGAACTCCACCCACGGCCCCATATGGCGACGTTCCCACGCGTCCGCGCCACCCTTTTCGGCACACACACACACACACCAGCGGTTCGTGGCTCCATAAGGAGCTCCACCGAAGGGCCCAGCGGCGACGTTCCCATGCGTCCGCGCCACCAATTTCGGCATGCCCATCACGCGTTTCGCGGCCTCATAAGGAGCTCCACCTCAGGCCCCAATGGCTACGTCCCCATGCGTGCGCGCCACCCATTTCGGCGCACTCCTCACGCGGTTCGTGGCTCCATGAGGAGCTCCACCGAAGGCCCCAATGGCGACGTTCCCATGCGTCCGCGCCACCCATTTCGCACGCGCTTCGTGGCACCATAAAAAGCTCCACTTACAGCCCCATTGGCGACGTTCCCATGCGTCCGCGCGGCCAATTTCGGCACACCCGCCACGCGGTTCGCGGCATGTGCACGCATGGTGTGCGTGTATACATGGAATGTCGCATGTATTGTATGTACCACACATGTTGCACCGCATAAATTGCACATATTACATTACACCACATGGATGGTATCATATTCAGGGTCAGCCGCATCTGCTGCAACTCGTATGCAGATTGAGCCGCATATACTTGCACCGCACAGGCAGCACCAGCTAGCATGCATCGAACACAGATTGTACCACGTAGGTTGCACCACATCGAGAGTGCAAAAGCCTACTGCTTAGGGGCCCACGCTGGCCAACATCTTTTTTCTGCTGCAGGCCAAAGATCTGAATATGTGCGGGCGCCTTGTCTTCCGGAAAAACAGCAAAACTCCTGATCACGCCGCATCCGCAGGCGTGCGAACCACCCGTCGCAACCACATTCTGGGAACGCGTCTCTGGAGACGACGTGAGTCTGGCTCGCTGGGCGAGGCTCCGACTCGGAAGGTAATTACAGTCCACCCTTCCGTCGAGCAAAACTGGTCGGCAGCTGGCAGCGGGGCACGCCGTGTCTCCGCGCTGCAACGACCAACAAAATCTAGACGCACCAGGCCGCCGGGTGTCGGCAGCGGTTTCGTTCGAAATCTGGCAAGGCTGCCGAGGCGGGCGACATGTGGACTGGGAGCTGGAAGAGGAGGATCGGGTCGGATCGGAGTTCTAGAAATATTCAAGGCGTCGGGCTGAAACCAGTTGCTTCTCCGCTGCTGCGCTGCGCCGCAGCGACCTGCGAGTGGCGCAGCCTAGATGGCCGACTCCGGACCCCCTGGGCCCTAGAAATGTACAGTTGGAGCTCGACCACAAGAAACTCCCCAAGACGTCTCCTGATGTTTGGTGCGGGGACGTCACACTTTCCATAGCAGAACCATCGAAACCCAAGAAGCCCAGGGCACCCTGGAGGCGAGCAGGGTGTTTTTTGGCATGGGGTTCCACTGTAGACGTCGCCTCATCCTCATCCCCTCATCCCCTCATCCTCCGCCTTCTCCTCCTCATTTTCCTCCTCCTCCTCCTCCTCCTCCCTCCTCCTCCTCCTCCTCCCTCCTCCTCCTCC